TGCATATTTGTCTCTCTGTTTCTCTTCCGTTCTGTTTGCATGTTTGTTTGTTTGTTTGTTTGCTTGCTTGCTTGCCTGTGCGTTTGGGCGGGTAGCTGGTTTGGTTGGGTTGGCTTGTGTGTTTGTTTGTTTGTCTGATTGCTTGCTTGCTTGCTTGCTTGCTTGCTTGTTTGCTTGTTTGTGTGTTTGTTTTGTCAGACGCTTGCTTGTTTGCTTGTGTGTGTGTTTGTTTGTTTGTTTGCTTGTTTGGTTGGTTGGTTGGTTGGTTGGTTGTGTTGTTTGTTTGTTTGTTTGTTTGTTTGTTTGTGTAATTGTTTGTCTGGTTGCTTCCTTGCTTGCTTGCCTGCCTGCCTGCCTGCCTGCTTGCTTGCTTGCTTGCTTGCTTGCTTGCTTGCTTGGTTAACTAGTTGTTTTGGTTTGCTTGTTTGTATGTTTGTTCGTTAGTCTGTGTTTTGATCCGTGTGTTCTTTTGTTCCGTTCGTTCGTTCATTTGTCTGTCTGTCGTCTGTCTGCTGGCTTGTTTGTTGGTTGGTTGGTTTGTTTGTTGAATTTTGTTTGTCTTTTGTTATGTATTCATTTGTATTTGTATGTTTGTTTGTTGTTTTGTTCGTCTGTTTGTTTTTGAAACAGAAAGATGCCGAAAGATGCAAGTTAGACTAAATAGAATAGACCGAAATCATAGAGGTAGATCTAGGCAAAGTGCAGCCGGGCAAACTGCGAGGAAGGCTCGGCATCATGCTTTTGATTTGCCTTGGCTGGGTAAGTTTCGCCTCAGGGCGCAACAAGCTGCCCGGCGCTGCTTTTCGGCCAACTGGCTGGGCGATCGCCCAAAATGTTGCTTTGAAGCACTTGCGAGCTGTAGGAAAACTTCAGGGAAAGTGCGGGGAAATTACGGTTTTGGCTGGTCCAAAACCGCGGTCTTTTGAGCTGAGCTCTCAGCAGTTCACAAGTGTTTCGATCTGGCCCTGAAAGCCGACCGCTTCCAGGCTCGCTTCAGGCGGACTCACGGCAGCTGGAGCAGGGATTTTGGCCGCGCGATAACTTCCCGCCGAGGCGAATTTGTCTGTATGTGTGTTTCTGTTTTTTTGCATATTTGTCTCTCTGTTTCTCTTTGCATGTAGGTTTGTTTGCTTGCCTGCTTGCTTGCTTGCTTGCTTGCTTGTGCATTTGCGTGGGTAGTTGGTTTGGTTGGTTGTCTGGTTTGTGTCTCTGTCTGTCTGTCTGTCTGTCTGTCTGATTGCTTGCTTGCTTGCTTGCTTGTGTGTTTGTCTGGTTGGTTATCTAGTTGTTTTGGTTTGCTTGCTTGTATGTTTGTGTGTTAGTCTGTTTTTTCTGACTCATGTGTTCTTTGTTCGCTTGTTCGTTCGTAGGCTTGTTCGTTTGCCTGTCTGTCGTCTGTTTGCTTGCTTGCTTGCTTGTTTGTTTGTTTGTTTGTTGGTTGGTTGGTTGGTTTGTTGGTTGTTGTAGCTTGTTTGTCTGTATATTTAATTGTTTGCATGTTTTGGTGGTGTGTTCGTCTGTTTGTTTTGAAACAGAATCGAGATGCCGAAAGATGCAATTTAGACTAAATAGAATAGACCGAAATCATAGAGGTAGATCTGGGCAAAGTGCAGCAAAACTGCGGGCAAACAGCGGCTTTCTGCTTGCGATTTTACCTTGGCTGGGTAAGTTTCGCCTCAGGGCGCGACATTCAAGCTGCCCGGCTGGCTGATCGCCCAAAAATGTTGCTTTGAGAATGACTTGCCAGCTGTAGGCAAACTTCAGGGAAAGTGCGGGGAAATTACGGTCTTTTTGAGCTGAAGTTCACAAGAAGCTTCGAGGAAACTTTGGGTTCTGTAGGTTTGTTGAAGAACATGTGTTAGACCGGATGTTTGCCTAATAAGCCTAATCAGGCTATTTCCACGCTCCAAAGACCAACCGAACAAAAAATAAGAGACAACATACTGAATAGACAGAACAAGTTATTGTTTCATGTACTCATGGGTTAGGATTGTGCTGCGACGCCTTTTCGGCTTGTAGTTTGGATTTGATATCATTGGGCTTGGTGTGGTAGGCGGTCCCCTCTAACAGGAGTCCAGCACTGCGGACTTTGCAGGCCTCCTTTTTGGCCAACTTTGTGGCGGAGGCGCAAGGCTGCTTCAAGTGGGAGACTAGGAGGTCTCCTTCTGCCAGTCGAAGCCGGTCCCCGGCGTCAGAAGGAGCTGGGGCGGCTCTGAAAAGAAGGAGGGGCTTTGAGCGGGGAATTCGGTTTCTAGGGGGATTTGACAGATTGGACTGGTCCGTGTTTGGAGAGAGGGGGAATGTGACCGGCTTCTAGGGGATTTGACTAGAGTTGGACCAACCCGACCGGCTTCTGGGGTCGAGATCCCTTTCTTGAAGGCAACTGACTGCTTCCCGGCCCTGAAAGCCGACCGCTTCCAGGCTCGCTTCAGGCGGACTCACGGCAGCTGGAGCAGGGATTTTGGCCGCGCGATAACTTCCCGCCGAGGCGAATTTGTCTGTATGTGTGTTTCTGTTTTTTTGCATATTCGTCTCTCTGTTTCTTCCGTTCTGTTTGCATGTTTGTTTGATTGCTTTCTTGCTTGCTTGCCTGTGCGTTTGGGCAGGTAGTTGGTTCGGTCGGGTTGGCTTGTTTGTGTGTTTGTCTGTCTGATTGCTTGCTTGCTTGTTTGCTTTTTCGTGTGCTTGTTTGGTTGGCTAATTGGTTGGTTTGGCTCTTGCTTTTATGTTTGTTTGTTTGTTGCTTGGTTGGTTGGTTCGTGTGTTCTTTTAATCGCTTTCCGTTTGTTTGTTTGTTTTTTTGTTTGTTTGTTTGTTGGCTGGTCCGTGTGTTACGTTGTCCGTTTGCTCTTTCGTTGGTTTGTTTGCTTGTCTGTCTGTCTGTCTGTCTGTCTGCTTGTTTGTTTGTTTGTTGTCTGGTTGTTTTTGTTATTGTATGTTGTTAGTTTGTTGTGTGATTGTTGTGTTTTTTGTTTCTCTCTTTGCTTGCTTGCTTGCTTGCTTGCTTGCTTGCTTGCTTGCTGACTTGTTTGTGTGTGTGTGTTTGTTTTGTTGTTTCGCATGTTTGTGTTGTCGATTGTTTGTTTGTTGGTCGGTTTGTTGTTTTAGTTTGTTTTGTTTGTTTGTTTGTTTGTGTTGTTTGTTTGTTTGTTTGTTTGTTTGCTTGGTCGTGTTTGTCTTTTTTGTTTGTTCGCTTGTTTGTTTGATTGTTTGTTTGTTTGTTTGTCTGTTGTCTGTGTGTTTGGCGTTTTGTGTTGTTTGTTGGTGTTGGTTTGTTTGTTTTGTTAGTTGGTTGGTTGGTGGGTCGACTTACGTAGTTTGTCTCTGCCGGCGTACTCAAAAAAATTGTTCGCTCATGTAGTTAGTTTTGTTTCTTGTGGTCTGCTGTTGTTGTTGTTGTTGTTGTTGTTGTTGTTGTTGTCGTCGTCGTCGTCGTCGTTGTAGTTGTCGTTGTTGTTGTCGCTGTTGTTGTTGTTGTTGTTGTTGTTGTTGTTGTTGTTGTTGTTGTTGTTGTTGTTGTTGTTGTTGTTGTTGTTGTTGTTTGTTGGTGTTGTTGTTGTTGTTGTTGTTGTTGTTGTTGTTGTTGTTGTTGTTGTTGTTGTTGTTGTTGTTGTTGTTGTTGTTGTTGTTGTTGTTGTTGTTGTTGTTGTTGTTGTTGTTGTTGTTGTTGTTGTTGTTGTTGTTGTTGTTTGTTGCTTGGTGTTTGTTGTTTGTTGTTTGTTGCTTGTTGCTTGTTGTATGCTGTATGCTGTATGCTGTATGCTGTATGCTGTATGCTGTATGCTGTATGCTGTATGCTGTATGCTGTATGCTGTATGCTGTATGCTGTATGTTGTATGTTGTATGTTGTATGTTGTATGTTGCATGTTGTATGTTGTATGTTGTATGTTGTATGTTGTATGTTGTATGTTGTATGTTGTATGTTGTATGTTGTATGTGTATGTTGTATGTTGTATGTTGTATGTTGTATGTTGTATGTTGTATGTTGTATGTTGTATGTTGTAGGTTGTAGGTTGTAGGTTGTAGGTTGTAGGTTGTAGGTTGTAGGTTGTATGTTGTATGTTGTTTGTTGTATGTTGTATGTTGCATGTTGTATGTTGTATGTTGTATGGTGTATGTTGTCTGTTGTCGGTTGTCGTTGTTGTTGTTATGTTGTTATGTTGTTATGTTCTTATGTTGTTATGTTGTATGTTGTATGTTGTATGTTGTATGTTGTATGTTGTATGTTGTATGTTGTATGTTGTATGTTGTATGTTGTTGTTGTTGTTGTTGTTGTTGTTGTTGTTGTTGTTGTTGTTGTTGTTGTTGTTGTTGTTGTCGTTGTCGTTGTCGTTGTCGTTGTCGCTGTCGTCGTCGTCGTCGTCGTCGTCGTCGTCGTCGTCGTTGTTGTTGTTGGTGTTGTTGTTGTGGTTGGCGATTTTTGTGTTTGCGGATGTTTTGTTGGTTTTGTCTATGATCGTGTTACTTCATGTACATCATGTGTTCTGTGTGTTTGCATGTCGTTATCTTGTGATTTATTCATATACTTGTTTATTAAATTGTGTTATGTACTTCCCGTGTTTTGTCCTTCATGTATTTATGCAATTATATGTTTGTTTGTTGCTCATGTGTTTGCTTGTTTGTTTGTTTGCTTGCTTGCTTGCTTGCTTCCGTTTCTTGTTTTGGTGTGCTTGGTTGCTTGCTGGCTGGCTGGCCGGTTGGCTGCTTGCTTGCTTGCGTGCTTGCTTGTATTATTGTGTGTTTTCTGTGGCAGGTCTACATGCGTCCGCCAACGAGTCTTCCCAACAATTTAATGTTCATACCCAGCTGGTCCCTTTTGACACCCTCCCCGAGCCTCTTTCTTGTCCTCCCTTCTGATTTCACGTTATCTGGTCTACCCGAAGAGCGCTCGGTTGGGGGTCGAACCAACAATGGGTGGTTCATAGGGCCCAAAGCAAAACGGTCCCTCGGGCTTCCGAACAAAAGAAAGCGCAGGGCCCATCTCGCTTGCAGAGCGCCAGGACCCCAAGGCTCCGTCGATGCAAAAGGCTATGGCCCAGCACTACCTCCACCGCTTCGGAGGCGCTGCGAACGCCACGCTGGCCGGGGCCTACCTGCTGGCGGCCGCGCAGCTGGGGGAGCCAAACGCCCAGCAGACGAAGCTCGGACAGGAACAAGGAAGTCCGTAAAACGCGGCTTGAAGCTTTCTAACCCTGAATCAAACATCTTGCAAAAGGAGATTCCCTTGGAACGTGTTTGTTTGGCAGGTAGCTATGTCCTCATTGAGGAAAGCGGGTGCCCATGGCCTCTGAGGCTTGCCCACGCCTACGCGGGCCTGGGAGTTTCGGAGCTCTCAGGCGTGCAGGTGCCGGGAGCGCCCAACACAAACCGGGCTCTGCACTTCTACTCGCTGGCGGCGAAGCAGGGGAGGCGAAATTGCAAGGGGATTCCGCCCTGTTTCCCCTAGCCCTTGCGTAAAGGTTACGGGTGCACCTGGCTTCTCCGCCAATCTGTTTTGTTGCGGCAAAGGCTTGACGTTGAAACATGTTAGAGCCTTGCCGGGGCCTGGATACCATGCGGCTGAGTGGGAATGTACATTCCTGAGTGCAGAATTCCGGAGTTGTGTGCCCAGTTCCATGTGTGTCCTGTGGCGCCAGGCCCGTGTCTGCCGTGAATGCCGTCGCTTTGATGCTTCGTCAACCTGGCATCTCGGCCACATGAGCCAACGCATGCTAACGCCCAGATGGCCGTGTTGACTCATGGGGATCAATTGGGGTTGGGTCTCTGATAGGTTTCCGATTGGGCTTGGCCTGTTGTCATGTGTTCCAGGCAAAGCTTGGGGTTTGCGATCCGGGTGTTGCCGATTCCCATTCGTATCACCAAAGGGGGTTTCTCACAAGCCGTCATGGGATGATCAGGATAAATTAGATAGAAAAGTGGGTAATTATGGGCAAGTACAGTGTCGTATCTATTATATCTATTATTATCAATCTGTGAAATAAGTTCCTAAAGAGGTTGTGTTGGGGGTGTGCGACAGGTGGTGTCCTTGTGTGCTTGCACTGCAGCGATCTTTTCACACGAGCCTGCACTGTGTCATACCAGTGGAATCTGTAGAAATATTGGTTATGTCAATAGCGTCAGCGAAATTGGCATGTGCACGTCTTCCTGCCTTGATACATCAGTGCAGACCTAGTCCTAGCTTTTTTGTTTGGATCATGATGTGGGTTGCCATCGTCGAATGTCCCAATCCTTTGTTTGCCAATCAAACAAACACAAGCTATATTGTCCAATATCAACCACAATGCCATCCGGGCAGCCGAAACCTTTTAGTGACGATTCAGCACGTTGTCCAAGGCCTTACAACATCAAAGCCCAGTTTGTTGCCCCCAGGAGAACCTGTCCGTGCTAGGATCACTAAAAGTATCTCCGTTTGTATCGTGAGTTAAGAACTTCATGCCTCCTGTGGGACGACACTGTTGATGACACGCCAACCATCGCTTGGACAGGCCCGTTGAGCCGTTGAAGTGCATTGATATCAAGCCCCTGGCTTACCCTCTCTCTCACCATCATAAATACTGGCAGAAAGGTTTTAGGTTTTGGACGCCAACTTTCCTTTTTGGGCTGTTTAAAACTTAGTGGCTCCAAGCCATCCCTTAGCCTTTTAGCTTTTTAGTGCTTTGTGGTAGTTTCCATTTAGCCCACTAAAGGTTTTTCCTTGTAGCGGGGGATCTGAGGGCAGCCCAGTAAGAATTGGCGGGTCCAGCGTCCCTTTACTGGAAAGCCCGAGAGCAAGGCGAGATGACCAGCACCAGGTGCCGAAAGGCGGCGGAGACGCTGCGAGAGGTGGCCTTGGCCTACCACCCCGCCCCTTGGCCGACCCAACCGATGTGGCCGGGTCACAGGGTTCCCATGGGTTCCCTATATGGCTGTGGGTCAAAACCAATGGTACCATGTTGGGGTATTGGTGCACCACCCATTTAAGTCTATTTCAGTGGGGATTGGGATGTTCACTGGGATGACGGGATGTTGACCCATGGCCATATTTCCCGTTTTTGGTGGTTTGAAACAGCACCTTTTGGGATCCTTTAAAGTGAGTTGCCTTTTGGTGGGGTGATGTTCAAAAGGGAAATCTACGCAGCCCTGGGTCAATGAGCCAGAAGAAGTCCAGTGGGGTATGGGGATGAATTATGATCCAGTGACAGAGTTGGTGGTCTATGTTGGGAAGGATGAAGAGTGGCAGTTTCATTGCCTTTGTGCCAGGAGTTTGCCACAAAATCAAGTGGACAACCCAAAAGACAGAGGCTTTTTGATTGGGTGCTGTGATGGAGGAAGGGCTTTTTGAATGGGTGCTGTGATGAAAGGTAGACCCTTTTTCACATAGCAGTGAGCCTTGCGACTCTCTTCCAGGATCAGAGAGCTCTAGGTCTTGCAGTCTTTGCAATCCACTTTGCAATCTTTGTTTGTCCGGTGTTTGCGTCCTACTGTTACTATATTTGATACAGCGAACATGGAACTTTGCACTCCCAGTGTCAATACTATATCAAATAAAATTGGAGGGGCCTTCATAGCTTCTGTGATATTCCACGCAAGTGTCACGGGGAGGAAAGTAGCGTGCAACATGTGTTGAAAGAGCAACTTTTGTATGACTCTTATACATACCCTCCCTGGATCATCCCGCGTTTGTTTTAAAAACATGTCCCACGTTTCTCTCGCTCAGGCAGTAGTGGTTCAGTCTGTTCTGTGTGGTGTGTGTGTGTGTGTTTCCTCCAATGCCTTTTCTCGTATATGTATCGCGTTGCAGAAGCATCTCCTGTGAACCAGACAAGCTCTGCGACCCTGAGGCAGCGTGATTCAGGTGCCTGGAACACATTTGGGCCAGTTGAAAAGTCATTGACCGGCTGATTTTGAGGATCCCCCTGAGGTGGCTGTGGGTCAAAAACATGTACCAAAATGGCACCCTGCTAAATGGAACCAAAGACTAACACCTGCATAACAGAAAGCTTTTTCATTTTGAGCCACACCCACTTATCTTCATGGGGAAATTGACCCCTACCAAAGCACCGGACTTCCAGGACGTCCTGCAACTCTACTCCCGGGCTCGGAAAGCCGCCCTGTCGGATGCTTCCACGCCGGACGCGCTCTTGGCCTTCACGCTGCTCTCGGAGCGGGCGGAAGGGCAAGGGTCAATGCCACCTGAAAGTGGGAGGGGAGCCTGCGAGGCTTCACTAAAATTGCTGATGAGTGTCCACCACGTTGGAGTCTTGCTTTTTCTTTTTTAATTTAAAGTTCACGGCCATCTTGTGTAGCAAAGAGACTGACATGCGTCACAGATTTACGATTGGGAAGTAATGACTCATCAGGTGCAACTGTGGCTCTTCGCCTGGATCCAAGCTCCCCTCTTACCTAGACCTCGAGTAGGGCAACTTGGTTTCTTTTGGTGGGTTGCCTTTAGCATCAACCAAGGCGTCCTTGGTTCTTCCTGGCCACTGGAAGTCTGGGTTTACAAATGGCTGGTAGGAAGGTGCGACCATGCGACATCCTAAGGGAACCTTGACCATGCTCCAATATATATATATATGCAGTTTTGACCAGACGACATGTGCCACAAATACACTGGTGAGTGTTTCAAGCATAGGATACGGACTTCCGAATGGCCGTGTTTGTAGAGTGTCAGTCCCATGTAAAACAGAGTGATTATGTAAGTGATTTCAATACCAGTCGAGGCAAGTACCCATTACTTCCATCCATGCAAGCATCCGAATGCATTGCTTCAGACTCTGACTTATGATCTGGCCACCAACTGGTGGAGATGACAAGTATATTAGTTTCGTACGGTTCGGCTCCTTTGGTGCGGGGTCAAGATTCCCAAACATCCTGATTGGAATCATGCAATCATTGAAGGCAAACAAATCACTTGATTGCAAGGGACGGGGCAAGCTACGGTTTGCAAACAGAAGTACATGTCACTGGGTGCACGGATATTGTCATAATTCGATGTTGGTGAAGCTAACCTGTCAACAAATCATTGCATGGGGACAGGTCTCTTTAGCATGTTTATCGCATGTGTTATTTTTTGCGATGCCACTTCAGGATTGAGGTGGTATTTGATGTTGGATTATGTTCGCTTAGCAACATAGTTCCTAGGGAGTGGTTTTGTGTCTGCGTTTAGAATGAAAACGGGTATGTTGATTGGTCATTTCCTTTCTTGCATGTTATGTTGTATTCCTTCTAGTTGTTACGTTTCTGCAAGCTCGTGCAACGATCAGTCGACCGGATAACTTGACAATTGGGGCCTTGCTGATTGAACGTCGCATGCGAAGGTAGTTTTTTTTTTTAACTCTCACCTTGCAAACCGACAGTTGTGGACTCAAAGTTGAAATATATTAGGTCACATTTTTTCCTCATACATGAAGTTCTACGCGCATGACAGTTTGTCTCAAAAGTGCCGCACGCCGTTCTCCAGGAGTTGGGCGCAAAGAACGCTCACACCAATGCTGCAGCGCTGGCCAAAGAGACGCAGAGCCTTTGCTGGAGGCGCGGTCTCGGGCGCGTGCAGGGCTGCGTAGAAAATGGTTCCGGGGGCTTGCAGGATTATGTGTGTATGTGTGTAGCATCCTAGAACGCATTTGTTAGAACTCATTTAAGGTCACCGAATTCGGAAAACCAGCCATGATCCAAGCAGAAGAGCTTTTTCGGACTTGAGCTAACAACTGTCTTTGGCACAATTACACTTGCCAACAAACAAATGAGACAGAGGCGGCCAGGGTTGTGTGTGTTGCGTGTTTGTTTTCTGTGTATGTTTGTTGGGCTGTTGACTGGTTGGCGGGTTCGTTGTTTGCTTGGCTGGTTAGCTTCAAGGTTAGTTGGCTGGCAGGAGGCTAGATGTATCTTGGAAGGTTTGCCAGGTGGTGCATGGGAAGGTATGAGGCTTTCATTGCTTGGAAGTTTGAGGGTGGGTTGGCTGACTTGAGGTTGGGTTAGTGGCCCAAAGTCTTCGTGGGGCCCGCAGGAAAGCTCAATGACTGACTTTCCCATTTTGTCACCGCTCAGGCGGCACACAATAAAGCCACTGTCCCCACAATTTGTGCCTTTGTCAATCCGCTTGGCTGGTTCTGTCAGAACCAGGGCCCCTGGGTGGTCTTCTTTCGGCCAGGCCGCAGCCCGCCTGTGAGATAGACTACCTCCGCAGGCTGGGCCAGACCTTGCAATGGAGGAAAATCTGACCCCATGATGATGTTTTTCTTCTTTTCAATTGTGGACAGAGAAAGGCCAATCTTCCCGCGTATCAGTACAGGTGAACAGCAGCCACGATGGTGTGATCCATGTAAGAGCACTGCGACAGGTTACTCGACGCGCGATGCATTGAATTATGTCCGATGCCTTGTCAGCCATGAAGACTAACAATGACAAGCCTTTGCCTACAATGCCTACATTCCCTTCGATTCAAGGTGAGATCTGGCTTTCAATGCCATTCCCAGCCGATCAAACGTGAGCAGAGCACGAGCTCACCCAAGGGCTGCCTGGAGCGGCTCCACGGATGCCATGCTGCGCCTGGCCGCGCTGCTGCAGAGGAGCCGTAGAAATCCGTTTGGAGTGGAGGGGATGGCACTTCCTTTGGGCCACACACAAAAAGAGAAAAAAAAAAAAGCCCTCTCTTGAAGCGGCAAAGTGGTCCCACAGCTCGGCACGCCCATTGCAATTAGATGGTGTGGTTTGGTTCGAGGACGAAGGACCTGGAGGGCGGGTGGCGCTGGACAAAGCGGGCGGAGCAAGCTGGCAGTGCGGAGGCGAAGCTCGCCGCAGGATATCTGCAGGCATGGTGGGACGTGGGCAATCGGCTGGGGGGCTGGAGGCTAGGGGGTTTTGAGGGTTGGGGTATATGATATGCCTTTCACAGCCTTCTCGTACACATGATGTTGTTGGTATGCATGTGTATGCATACATATACTTATATATACACGAGAGACAACACGCGTATCATCAGAAATTTCATCAACATCGTCACCACCACCACCACCACCACCACCACCACCACCACCACCACCACCACCACCACCACCACCACCACCACCACCACCACCACCACCACCACCACCACCACCACCACCACCGCCCCAAATGCTCGGCAAAATTCCACTTTTTGGTGGCACTTGACGGCTCATGCTCAGAGGCCTACGGCGTGGGCACAGAGCAAGACCTCAGCGGCGCCTGCAGCGCCTATTGCAGCTTCTTGCGCGAGGAGGAGCCCTTGCTGGCACGAGGCGGGGCAGAATTTTCGCCTCGGGAAAGATGGTGATTCATCCTCAGAGGCAGACAGGGTTTTGTCCGCGGCAGGATCTGAATATTGGGCCACAGGCCAAGGAGCATGACCATGGCTCACCATAAGGTTGCCAGTGCCTTGCATGATGTTTGACGTTTCTTCAATGTAAAGCATGGCTTGTGGTATGCCCATGGCTGTCGAGCATCCTTCACTGGGGCCTGGGTTCGGTGAGCTCATGGTTGATCAATTGCAGTGGATGAGACACCACCATGCGACGCGTTTGTGTACCTTGCACGGGCAATGAGGATGACAGGCGTGTTTCTTTCTGTAGGTTTGTCGACTGATACCTGTGTGATGAAGTGTGAGCTGCAGAATGCTCGGGGATGATGGGGATTGGCTTTCAATTGAGTTGTTTACGGGATAACTTCACACCGTCAGCATGATCAACATATTCCGATTCTGAGCTCCTACAGGTGGACCATGGTGGACCCAATGAGCAAGACTTGACAATCGGATTGCTTGTTTGCGCGATGGTTTTCTCATTTGTGTGTGTGTGTGTGTTATCGCTTCCCCACTATGGGCAAATTACATCATGCCCGCTAAGTTGTTTCAGCCAGAGAGTGCTATGTGGAATGTTTTAGATATTTGCAAACTGTTAGAACTAGCATGTGTCACAATTTAGTGCGCATGGCTGTAGGTATGCCTGTTGGATTCAGGCTGGTCCTGCACATGGTTCTTGTTGACACGGCCAGCTGGCCGAGTCAAGCACCCTCCCCTGCCCCAGCCTTTACAATCCGAAGCCTTTCATTGCATTGGCGATGTCTCAGCAGGTTCCCCTTCTTCCCCTGGAGGCAGACTTTGGGATTGTTAGCTGTTCACAAAACCTATCCTGTGCCGTGAGTCTGGGGTTTCAATTCAACTTGTCCTGCCATATGCATGCACACATAAAAACACTGGCGACACACATCTACGTAGATGCTTGTGTTGCATATTCTTTCTTCGTCCCCCGTCTCTGCCCAGACAAGCCGCAAAGAAACACGTCAATACTCCAGAATCCTGACATTAGATTCAACAGTTGACAAGCTACGCTGTTCCCCTAGACTTCTCCCATTCCTCGCAGAAAACTCTCCCCCCGCTGGCGCGCGAGGCCTGGCGTTCTTCCAGGTGTTGCGCTTGAGACTCGTCTCGGGCGACGCCTGCTGCGATCTTCCCGACGCCGGGCCCTGGGCGCCCGTTGGCGCCATGCTGGCCATCGTGGCAAGCCGCTCGAGCGTCAAGTCGACTGCGATGCATGCCGTGTTCGGCGGTTTAGGGCTCCAACTTGCAACTCTTGTGACAGCAAGACTTGTTGGTCAGAGGACCATGTGGAACCTGGAGGTGTGTTTAAATCGTAGGCTCGATTCTGATAATTCTCAGAGTGAGCATCCCAGAAAGTGTGTCAACTGGGCTCAGGTGGTTGGACCACGGCGACATTTGGTTCGAAGTGGTGGGAGAAATCTAGATGGTTGCGATACACCATCACTCGGCACAAATTCGCATGAGCTCATCCGGGGGTACAACGAGCTTACATGATGGACGTCCTTAACTGGCGAGATTCCTTCTTTTCTGTTTGTGAGCTATACGTAGTGTTCTGTCCAGATCGCTGATTTGCTTCGCGGCGATGCATCATTTGAGAGCACTGCCTGCATGCACGGGATTGATAAGTGTGTTGTGGCTTGCTGGGCGACTTAACAACTGGCTTGTGGTCAGTTGAATGTTGCGAGATGGGGCAGCACGGCTCTTGTTTACCGCCTCTTGCTAGCTTGATGGTATGGGCATTCTCAAGATGTGTCAGAGTACTTGCTGCATAGTGTCCTTAATGTGCTTTGGCAAGGATCAAACGAAATACGGAGTTGGCAATGAGGCACCTAGAAATCTTCACTGAGCTTTGCTGCTGAGGATTGCCGCGCGCACCTCTCATTTGCGAAACAATTTGCTGGCTGTAGACCGGTGCAAGCAAGAAATGCTGCGTGTTGCGATTGTTGAATCAAAGTGGCTTTGCTTTTTGCATTGCCCAAGTAAGCTTCGCAGCAGGTTCTGAGCTAAAGGCGCTTAGAAGACGCTGCGGATGCCTCAGCCGAGGTACCAGTGCAGCAGCAGCTTGCCTTTCCTGAGCGAATGCTAGCTCTGGGCTGTGAGATGTCAGAGATTCCGGGAGTCTCTGACAACCGGAGGGGTCCAAATTGAGGTTCTTTGCGTCAGTTGCCAGAACGGATACAGTACCTGGAAATTCCCGGAAATTCCCTTTTTTGTAAGTGGACCCGGGGTGGTGCTCTGGTGGCATGTTCAGTCATCGACATGTTGCACTGAAATGTTCAACCGTCAGCAGAGACGATGCAAACACAAGCCGAGAGAAACCATGACATGAAATTATATACATTCAGCGCCAGCGTCGCCGTGGTTTTCCTGCTTCGGATCAACACTTTGGCAGTGACTGTACAAACCTTTTTGTACAGGTGAAGATGCCTCCATTGCAGACGGCACCGGCCCAGTGGAACGCGAAAGCGGCCTCCTTTCCTTTGTCACGTTCTGACCAAGGCTCGCCTTGCTGTCTCCTTTGCTAAGCACATCACTTCTGGGGAGCGTAGACACGACCACTATGCTTGCATAGTCATGTGTATCGATGAAGAGCTGCAGCCATGCAAACAAACCAGCGCACACACACACATAGATAGATGGATGGATGGATGGATGGATGGATGGATGGATGGATGGATGGATGGATAGATAGATACATGTATGCATGCATGCATGCATATCTATACATGTATGTATACATATACATATACAAATGCATATACACATACATATATATATAATACATATACACATACCTACATATGCATATGCATGTACACATACATATACATATGCATATATATTTATACATACACATACGTATACAAACACGGGCACTTACAAACACATGTGTATATCGCAAGTCCAGTATTCCTGTACATGATGCCGGCATGTGTGTACGTGACTGATTTGTCATTTCGTAGCACGAGGCACTTTCGTGCTTGGCATATGACCTTTGTAGCCTTGCTTGGAAGGGATGACGCGGTAATTCGGACAACATCTCTGTATTTCCCATGATCTACCAGACCTTTTCGCCAATTGGGGTCCATGACTCAATCCCACGGACGACCAATTCAACTGACGGCTGATGTGGCCATGGTTCCACTGAGCATTCATCTGCTTGTGCCAAAGGCCTGCAGAAAGACCTGAGCGGCGGGAGCAGCGAAACGAAAGGGAACGCGTCGACGCGTGGGTCGGGCAAGCTGGTGTGACAACCTCGCCAAGGTATGTTGTTTGTTGTTTCTCGCAACGGTACACCAAGCAATGGTTTTGATCGTTTTGACACGTGCGAGCTGAGAAATGGCGCTGACAGTGTCAACCTGGCAGCTTACAGTTGTTCAGATGTCCGTATTTGCTTGAGCCTCATCTGACTTGGTGTGCAGTCTCTGTGTGTACGTGCGCGCGTGTGTTTATGTGTGTTCAGCAGAGCGCCTTTCTCATCCGTGACAAGCCAATAGAGAACAAGGCAGACAAGAGACGGCCAGGTTCTGAAAATTAACATCCGCCACCTCTCTCGGATCGCAGAACCTATTTCCTATTTCACCATGCCTGGAGTGAGGCATTCCACTCTTGCTTCCAAATGCTTGCAATGGCATTTTATAGTGCCTTGCTTGAACCATAAACATGAGAGGACAGTTACCCAACAATCATGAAAGCTGACCGAAAGGTGTGGGAAGATAATTCTCCGCTTGAACCCAAGGGCAAGCACAACTCTCTGGCTGCGCAAAACCTCCTTAAGGCCAACAGGAAAAAAACAAGCTCCGGTGTAGTGAAACCACCCCTATCTCCCTGCGATACCATGGACGCCTCAAAAAGCTTGGCTTCAGAAGGGAGATTTTGCTGGGGGTCTCAGGTGTTTGGGCTGCAGGTGAGTTTTGTGCTTCTGCCTTTCGACGTGTTGTGTTTCAGGCGTGTTTTAACAGTGTGTGGAGCGTGTCGGCTTTTGACGGGCTGCTTCCGCCACATTTTAACCAGCGCTCGCCTGGCAGTTGCTGCCGACATCGCTGATGCACTGGAGACGGCGGGCACCTTAAAACGCCCCCGGCCCCGGGGCGTGTGGCGGAACGGGGCCTTCCCGCCACGGGCGAGGGTGGCAAAAGCCACCCTGGTTTAATATCTTTCTTAATTTATATGGCATCTAAACAAGATAGTAGTGTTTATTTTAGTAAAGGAAACAAATCTTGAAGGGGAGGAGGCTTCCTGAGAGTTGGGTGTGGGCTTTCTGTGTTGACTCTTGGCCAAAGGCAAATGCACCAGCTGGGCCCTATCAGACTTTGATCAGTTCCGACGAGGTGATCAGCATTGTGATTTGCTGATGGCAGCCTCTTGAGCAGGCAATGACAACATGCCAGTTAACACCTTCTTGCTTTCGAGCAGGGATTTGGGCTAGTCAATGTGCTTGGGTGACAGTGTTGCACATTTTCTGCACACATTACGTTTAAACAGGTTGCACTGCGTGACATCTCTGGTCCGGCGGCATAGACTGGCCCAACCTGTCTTTTCCAAGACTCGGCTTGCTGAGGCAACATGGGATGGATGATATGGTATGGGCATGTGTGCATTGCCGTCTCCTTGATGAAACGACATCAGGTTAATAGGCATTGCCTGTTTGGCCATTGACAGGCGCACACCACCCTGTGTGTGAGAGAGAGAGAGAGTTTGACGGAGCCAGCAATGACTGACTGCAATGTATGTGCTGTCATTCACCCGTGTACTCAGTATACCTGCGCATGTTGTGCATGCACAATTACATGGTTGCATCTACGCACGCCCGCGCATGCCACGAAGCGATGTTTTGAACATTTACTTGTTGCGATTGTGTATGGCATTGTGCTGTATTTCTGGGCACGCCGACGAACGCGGCTTAAGATCGAGGTAGTTGAGTCATGTTGTTTTGTTTCGAGGGTTTGTGCGCTCCCAAGGCCACCCGGGCCTAACTAAGGGATTAGGTACGACAGAAAATCATTCTGGCTCTTGACTTGGACGCGCAGAGGAGTCCAAACAAGCAATCGTATCCGAAGCTAGTCCATCCACAAAACTTGTGGTCGTCTCTCCAAAGCTGCCGTAGGCTGTGTTGGCAGCCGAGCAGAAGCAGAACGCCGCCTTGGTCTGAGTAACTGCTGTCGCCAAGGATTTGTTGTACTGAACTGCCAGGTGTAGGAAGGTGCCTCATGGTTTTGCAGTGCCCTGGGTGTGCCTGGCATTCCCGTGTAGTTTGGTGGAAGCCCTGACTACAGTAGCATGACATATTGCTTGGCTAAGGTTGGTGCCTTCTTAAATTCGGTATACATCTTATTTCTGGATACAATGGTCTGGCAGTCTTTTCTTAAATACACACATCGCGGATCATGCGTGAAGTTGTTGTTTGAGTTGTTGGTGGGTGCCTTGGGTGTTTATCCCCTTGAGAAATGGGGTTGTCTTCGAAATCTTGGAAAGACAAACAAGCCAGAAGGTCGGAAATCAGTGCCTGCCTGGCTAATCAGGGCAAGTGAGTGTGACCTTGCACAGGATGAATTTAAGCTGATTGTGGGGCAGGAGAATTCAGATCTGCGGGCTGGCATGTATTGGCTGATCATGACGCCTTAATGAACCATTCCCAGCTACAGGTCGCTTTGAACATGTCGCACCAACTATCAGGGCCACTTGAGACCATGGCGTGGGGCTATAATGGTGCAGCCAAGTTCAAAGCGACTCGAGCGCTTTGTCTCATCTCCTTTTCTGACCAATAGCTACACATGGCGCCCTGATAGCTGCATCTAGTGCTTTAGTTGACTGGAGTTTCATTTCAAAGCTATGCGGATTCAATCATGCAGCCTATTCGCGATGGTCTGCAATCTGCATGAAGCCTGTTGCTTCTACTTTCGATTTCGAGCACCAACCTTGTCGGGATCTTCAAAGTTGTGCCTTCCCTTCTCCAAGCCTTCTTGGGCACACCTCTCCTCCAGAAGAAACACGGCGCGATTCAAAGCGCTCGTGGGTGAAATTTGGTCAGATGAACCATTGTTTGGTAGAAATTCTGACCCTCTTTCCTCCAAAGCTTGGCAGGTGGAGTGGTGGCCCGCTCTATTGGCGGTCATCGGGCTCCTTCTTGCAGCGGCCATAGAGAGATGGAGAGCGCGTGAGACTGAGCCCCTTTGATTTTTTGGCAGGGGTTTTTCAAGACAATTGTTGGGTTGCTTTCCCTTGATGCCACTATTTGCAGGATGTGGCGGATGTCACTTTGATGGGCCCCATACTTTGTTCCGGACCCATGCTGCACCAGTCATTCTAATTTAGCTTGCTGGTGTTGCCTGGCCTGGGACAACCATTCATTGTTAGATATAGTTTATACATATGTTTGTCAGCATGACCAGAAAGACAGTGGTTCTTCGGCTTGTCAGTGGATGATCACACATTGGCCTAACCATCGGGGTAGCTACGAGCCTTGTAAAAGATGGCCAAAACCGCATACGGGTAGACCAATGGTAGACCAATTGTTTGGCATCCTTTCGTTTTGCTTTCCCAGGGACCAAATGTCGACCCTGACTCCCGGGTTGAGCCACCCTGCGACGCATGTCAACGCCATGTTGCCCCCCCCCTGCTGGAAACCCTGAGGCCGTCCTCCTGGTTGCCCAAGGCACCGCGGTGTCTTGGTTCCGAATGTGTCCAGGGATCAAACACTCCCGGAAACTTGATGTTTGGCCATGGCAAGTCCCCCAAACTGTTCCGCTGGTCGGTCTTCCGCTGATTTTTTTTTCAACTCCGATCCCTAATAGATGAGTTCTTGGTGTTGCGCATAGCCTCAAGGGAGCCTGAGGGGATAACCCCGTGAGTAGACATCCAGGATAGTCTAAGAGCCCATGGCAACGAACTTAGCCGATCACAAAATCTCCCTGGTGAACCAAAGTTGCTTTTAAGGCAGAGCAGTGATTGTAACAACTCGCTTTCTTGAATTTCATCGTAGCTAATGAACTCCTTTCTGCTGCACCGCCAAATGAATGAAGCCGCGAGAATGTCATTCTGACACCATGCTGCCTTTGTTCAAAGCCACTGCAGTTTCATTGGACAACAAGTAAGCGCAAACAGCATTGTGCGTTTAGCCCATCTGGCCCCTGGTCGGGTTGCGAGCTTCAAGGTCTTAGGGTTTAGCA